GATGAGGCAGCTGATCGTACCGTTTTTGAGAACACAGTAAGACTTCAAACGTACAGAGCAGTCTCCATCCTATAATCCTAAGCAGTGTCTTCTGGAAAGAAGACTTTGATTCATGAAGAAATGAATGAAAAGTGGTTTTGTCTACTTCAGAAGAAAAGTTCCAGAAGGTTCAGGGTTCAACTTTCTTTCCTCTCCTCTCCAGGCCGCCTTCTGGAGTTCCTCCTCCTCTTCAAGTGCCCTTAGATTTTAGTCTTTTAGTTATTTTCTTCTCCATCACTCTCTGTGTAGAGTTCTAGTTTCTTTTGCATATCATCTTTCATCCTCCTCTGCTTCCTTGAGCTGCCTATACATTTTTCCCTCTTTTTCCAAACCTTTAAAGCTTTCTTCAGCTCCTTCTCACTTAAGGATGAGCAATATGATGATATTTTATCGATGCAATATACTACAACACAATATCATCAAGACTTTGATTCTGACTCTGAACAACTATGTGTTTCTTTACAAAAGAGCATAATTTGTGCTGATAAATGGGATTTAGTGCAGCACATGATGTGAAATTTGAATAAAAATCATTGTTTTTGAGAGTATTTTTTAAATGTGGCACTACAGCTGCACTGTGTCAGAAGAACAAAATCCTGGTATGTCTAGTGCATCATGAAAAAAACTTAAAGAATCGTGACATTATACTGTTGCCAGATCGCCGACCATTATTCTCAGGTTTTTTTGCCGTTCTTTTTTTTTGCTTTAAATCTTTCTTTTCTTGTTTCTGAAGTTTCGTCGTCTTCTTTTTCTCTTCCTTCAAACTTTCCAGCCTTTCTTTCGCACAAGACTTCACAGCTTCAGCTTCAGCCTCAGCCTTTTTTTAGAATATTCCAGTATTTCTCCTCCAGCTTCTGTCTGCAAGCCCTTTCCTCTTTCTGCTTTCTGTCATCTTCATCTTCATCTTTCTTCAGATCTGCCTTGCTTTTCTCCTATAAGAATACACAATAAAGTAAGATATGGTCAAAAAATCATAGACGTCCATATGAAGTCTTACTTGCACAATCAAATCTTTTAAAAACTAAATTTCAACCAGGATGCTTTAATATAACTACCCTTAAATGAATACATGGACAGTTTACAGTGGAGATGATATTTTAATTAGTGATCGTGATTTGTGTCACGAGTCTCTGCCACTTTTATCTCCTCTTTCAGGATATCGACATGACTTTTATCATCCTCATTGTCTTTCTCAGCCTCATTTACCAGAAATGGTCCAGATGTTGCAGGCTGAGCAGGGCTGGAAAGAGGGCGAGTGGAGGGCTTCTTGCTGGGGGCAGGTCTTTTGGGTCTGCCATGCTTTTTGATGGTAGGTGAGGGCAACCTGATGTCCTCCTGCATGGAAGACTCAGAGTGGACTGCGGGCATGAAGCGTTCCCTTTGTGCTTTTTGGCACTGTACAAAAAGGTCCATGTTATTAAACATTCTTATTATGCACATTCTTATGACAGTCAGTTCTACAGACACGCTGTAACCCGAAGGTATTTTGAGGCACTACCAAGCCACGGACATTAACAATGTGAGAATATGGTCATATCTCAAAATGTATGGCAAAATAAATAGGTTGAGAATAAATTTTGCCTCTATTAAAGGTACTGGAGTCCCTCAACGTCTTTCCTGGACAGGGGGCTCACCAAGACCCCACATAGGCCTGAACACATTCTTTTTCAGGGTACATAGTTTTATCACTGCCTTCACTGTTTCCTAATCCTGGTCTTAAAGTAAAACATTTACAGTTGCATGCAAAAGTTTCAACACCACTGTTAAATTACATGTTTTGTTGATTTTCTAAGTGAAAATACACCGACCGATTATGACCACCTCCTTGTTTCTACGCTTATTGTCCATTTTATCAGCTCCACTTATTATATAGGTGCACTTTGTAGTTCTACAGTTACAGACTGTAGTCCATCTGTTTCTCTGCATACTTTGTTAGCCCCCTTTTACCCTGTTCTTCAGTGGTCAGGACCCCCATGGACCCTCACAGAGCAGGTACTATTTGGGTGGTGGATCATTCTCAGCATTGCAGTAACACTGACGTGGTGGTGGTGTGTTAGTGTGTGTTGTGCTGGTACGAGTGGATCAGACACACCAGTGCTAGCTTTCTTGTTTGGAATTACAGCTACAGTTAGAAATGGCTTCTAGCGTAGTTAGCTAGCTACAGCTGAACAACGTCTACCAAATTCACGCTACATATAAAAATTCTCTCTTTTGAAAACAGAAATATTACAGAAATCGCTGGCATGTTGTACAAAGACAGAGAGGCTGCTTGATGTGAGCAGCTGCAGCAGCAGTAAGCAGGGCTTCATCACATACACAGCATTTTAGCTCTGTTTAAAGTTAAATCAGTGCTTCCGTTCACTTCCTATTCACGCTTTTTGTCATGGTAGTGCACGAAAACTAACATATGTCTGTTGTAGCTCAGTATTTGAGCACTATAGTTCACTACTACAACATTTTGTCATCACTTCTGCAGTAGTTGTATGGAGCGGAAGTTAGTTTTATCCTGCTAGCGCTTAAACCAGAAGTAATCACGACTGTAGTGAGCCCTTTGTGAAAAGGGCCCATAGCTTAAAAGAGTCATTTAGTATTCAGCCACATTCATACTGGGCAAATAGTGCAAAAGCTAGACTTTAAAAACTCACATAGCACTATATAGGGAGTATGGAGCTGTTTGAGATTCAGCCTGGGTTTGATGTCACTTCAGGCAGATCTGACTAAAACAGGGATGTTTAAAGCATGTAATCCATTCAAACGACATTCTTTAGACTTTATACTGCCATTTCACAGTGAATCATGTAGTAAGTACTTTAATTCAAGCCTGTGATATTAATGATGAAGTTGTTTAGCATATTTGCTATTTTTTAGCCTGTTAGCCAGTTAGCCAATCTAGTTCTAGCCAGGAAAACAAGAAAGAGACGCAGGTTCTGAAGGCATTAGCACCAAGTGAAGTTTAAAAGCAATAAACAGGTTTGCAGTAACTTAATTTGTCCTTTGAGTTATTCAACCCCTGAAATTCCTGTGTTTATTACATTCTAAGCCTTTTTGTTCAGTCACCACATGCAAATCGATGCAAACAGACTAAATTGAGTTATAGGAGTGTTATAGAAGTCTGAAAAGATATTTGTTTATTTATTTATTTATTTATTTATTTATTTAAAAATCGAAACGTACACACATTGGAGTAAATATGAACGTTTTTAATTAATGCAGTCATTCACAGCAGTTAGAACAAACTTAACTGCAGTAAAGAAAATGGGTAAATTAATTAACAAAGAATAGAATAAACTAAATTAATCAAATAAATACACAAACAAATAAACAAGTGAATAGACCGTGAATCTTCTTCTTCTTCTTCTTATTATTATTATTATTATTATAAATCACCATAATACAAATATATCAACACGATCATCACATTAATAAGACATACGCAAATTATATTGCAAAGTGTGTACTTAGTTTGTCATTGCCCTCTAGTGGCAATATTTGGTCATAGCATTTTCTGCATAAAATACATTTTCCAGTGAAAAGTTGAAGCTATGGGGCAGCTTTCACTTCATTTTCCTCACCATTTCGTATTTTGTTTTTTCTACAAAATAATAGAAATAATGAAAAAAGAAAGACAGAAAATACATAAATAAACAGACCATAAATGGTGTCCGTTTCATTTCACCAACGTGCAGATTTTTCTTTTAGGTTTTGGACACATCCTTACGGAATAGTTCAATAATAAGAAAACACTGAAGACAATCAGTGCAATCAATGAATTTAACATAATGTGCTTTTTTCTTTTTTTCTCTATGTACCTCTGGCAATTAACGTATGTATATTTTTAGTGGGAATAAAAAAAAGGATTTTGGACACAATGAGTTTCACTAGATTCGATTTTTTTTATTGAAAGCAAAACATAGTACACAACATCGGATGCCTATAAAAAATATACATATAACAGTGTACACATACATCAAAAATACATACATGTTTACATATGTACATATTTTAACCATTCCATAGCTTTTTTGTTTGAAAGAGTGCAGGATTAATTCAATATAATGTTTAATCTCTTTTTTAAAGGCAACAAAAATTACGCTTTGCCTGAGAACAGCACTTGTGATTATGAAACAAAAAATATTTTAAAAAGTTAAAAAAAATTAAAAGCCATTAAAAGTATAAGGTTTATCATATAAACATCTGTGCATTTAGCCCTGTGATTTTCCAAAAGACCAAATAATGCATGTTTCCACAATAAGCAATACTTTTAATCAATAATATGAATATTTCACATATTGACAATACTAAAATAAGTGAATAGATGTCTCTGTGGCTTCATCAGGTTTTATGGGCTGCGTCCAAAACTGCATACCACTGTACCATCCATACTATACTAAAGACTGGACTTCTGATGGGGGTGTACTAGTTCTGACATACTATTTAGTATGCTAGTATGCTGTATTGGACGCAGCCATGTACTATAAGCAGGAAGTGTTACATCAGTGTCACGTGTCTCTCCACTAGGAGGCAATTTCATACTAAGTAATGCGTAGTTTTACGTATGTTGTCTTTTTATGAAGATTAAAAATGAATATATTCGCGTATTATACGCATCGCTACTGAAGGCTCATCTTGTATGGCTCAGGGGGGTCTTCTGTGGAGAGTCTCGGTTTGGGGAGGGATGGGCTCGTTCGACTGGTTTCAAATTTTGAGGAAGCTGGAAGTAAAGGGAGAGGTTTCACACTTCCCATGTGTCTCATGTATATTTTTGTATGTGACAAAATTAAAAGTAACTTCATGAATAAAGAACTAAAATATGTGTTTTTTATCCCCACGCCCAGAAAAAACCGAGCTGATCGTGTTAATTCGACAGCGGTACTTGTGTCCGCGTACCACTTCGGACCAAGTGATTGGACCAGATCTGAGCAGGGGCGTGGCTAGTGATGACTTTTGGGCGTCTGATTGGTCCGATTCTGACTGTGGGCGGGACGAGCGACGCGGCCCTCTGTAGACCAGTGAAAGACGCCATTTTGTTAATAGCGGTAAGGAGGAGACGGATTTTTTGCTGAGAAGCCGCATCGATAAGGTAATTTCAGAGGAACTAAAAGCAACACGAAAACCTAGCGGCTGCTGTCGGTTCATTTCGGACACTTAAAGGATAGATTTAGGGGACAAACCGAGCTCTATTATCATCCATCCAGCCGATATGTTACTTAGCTTTCGTGGCTAAGCTACGCCAGACGAAACCGAAGTCGGCTTCTTATTCACTTCTCGTTCGAATATTTCCGTTCCACCTTAAACGGCGCAGCACTCACATCCTGGCGCCTGAGGCACCAGAATGTAACCTCTCTACCATTTAAGGTGGAACGGGGAAATTCGACGAGGAAGCCACTTCAGCCTCGTCTACGCCAGCTGGTTTGGATTGCTTAACATGTAGCTCGCTGGGCAGATTAGCCTGTCACTCTTTCACGTTTTCGAGTCGTCTTATCTAAACAGTCTTATCGTCCGTTTCGCCGTTATATATCCGTGTTACCCATTTAAAACCTGATGATTTTGGACGTATCTAAAGCTTAAATGCTACCCAAGTCAGCGCCTTAAGGTAGCTGATTCACTCTCGTTAATGGTAGTTAGCCAGCTAGCCGTCGAGGCTTATCGTTAGCTAGGTCGATGGCCTCACAGATGATGGTTCGTAAGTTACAAAGATACGATGCAAAAAACCGAAGGCACCTCTTATTTTTTACCTCTTGAAGGATCTTGGTGTGTAGTTAGCCTTTCGTTTTCAGTCGAGAGCGGAAAATCTGTAAACAGTGTGGTAGGATGGTCGAGTTTGCTGGCCAGTTGGCAAAGTAACCTATGTAGGCCGGGTTTCTCATCTGCGGTTGTCGACCTGATAAACCTGCATAAAAGAAATACTAACCTGGTTAGTGAGCTAACCTGGCTGTTCTGGGTTTTTTTACTTTACCTGTCAACATCTTAAGTCAGTTTGTATAATACAGTCCTATGTGCGTCATTATCATACATTATTTATTAATTTACAATCAATTAATACGTTGCAGTATACGTATTTTATTAGTTTGCTGTTTTAATGTTAATTTTATGAATATGCTTACACTTATTTGTTTTCTGCTCAATTTACTTAGCTGTACATACTGTGTATATGTACCTCAGTACTCCAGTACATGTTTGATTCTGTACAATGGGAGATAAATACAAACTTGCAGTTTGTTTGAGTTCTGTTAATTTTATGTTTATATATACATATAAAAATTCAGTCGTTGAGATGTAAACAAAGTCACTAAGAGTGTTTGATGTTAAATGCTCTGTTTTTGAGAAACTGACGGACACAAAATTGTTCACAGTGGTGATGATGGGAACCAGTTATCTGAAGTGGTTAAGGCCTCTAAAAACTTACTCATCGAAAGTTTTTACATGAAATGGTTACGATTGTGTTGTCTGTTGATTGTGTTTTTGCTTTATGATAGTTTTGCAATAAGATTTGGCCCAAATTTCATTTTTGAAAGTCTGTTCATGCAGGTACATGCAGGGCATTGTAAAGCAACAAAGTCATCCAAGAAATTTTTTTTAGGTTGACCACTATTTTACCTTCATCAAAATTACATATTAAAACTCAGAAGACGCGTGACTCCTGGTTCCTATCGCCACCACTGCAAAGTAAATATGAGTAAGGAAGTTTCACTACAATAAACCATTTCTCTGAATTACTTTGTCTAAATCGCAATGATTGAATTACGTCTGAATTTAGAGTGATCTGTCGCATGTATTGTGAGTTGATCATTGGTCGAAGGGAAAATTTGCCAAAAATTCTGATTTAGTCCACTTTCCCTGTTCCCCAAACACAGTTGATCGGCCAAACGTGTTTGGTGTCCACAGTTTGTGCTTCACTTTTGCACTGCAGCAGTGAATGCAATGTAATAAGTCTGTCATTCGGAAAAATTTTGATAACGCGGACTTCCACTGCTTTTTAGCATCACTTGACTTTGAACTCATAGTGTAAAATCAAAGAAGCAAACGTGTTGTATTTGCCCATCGACTGCGTTTGGGATAATTGTAAAAATTATTTTACAGTTAATCGTTCCTTTAATTTTGGTGTCTCGCTTGGTTGTAGTTTTTAATCAGATTTCATAGGTTTTGTATACGTGGCTTTTCATGGCAGTTAGTTTGCCTTGGGCAGTTGAAAAATACTAATGTTGGTTTCTGTTTGGGAAATGGCTGACGCTAACTTAGGCTGTGGGTCTGTCGCAACCTCGACATTGTGGAAGAGATCAGATGTGGTCATGTGTTTGGCTCCAGGCTCTCAGATATAGCCTCTCCCTCCAGCCACCTCGCACATGCTTTTGTTTACTCTTCTGCTGTACACGTCCTCCAGAACCAGGAGCAGGTGCAGTGGGAGTCTGACAGCATGAAAATCACAGACTCCTCGTTTTTTCTACATCGCTCTCGTTTTTTTTTTTTTTTAAAAGATTTGTTTAAAAGTATGTAAAACGAGGAGCGTAAGAATGATTATTTGTCGGCTTATTGTGTGGATGTGTTATGCAGTTACCTGACGGTTAACTGTGTTACAGGACGAGGTCTTCATGTAGGACTGGTGTCGTTTCTCTCACGATTTTCCGTCCAGTATTTCTGACGGACTGAGTGTGTCTAAAGGGCTGCAGAGTGAGACAGGATAAGCAAAAGATGTATTGCGCTACGATTGTACAACTCACTTAACAGTGGCTTTGTGCAAAAGCTGACCGATTGCTTTTCTTCTCCTCTTTTTGTGCTGCAGTAGGTAGGGGCCAGTTTTGGTGGTCGTCATGGGAGCAGGTCAGTTTTGTTTTTACAGGACTGAGACGTTTGTTGAGGCCGGTGAATGGGGCATTATCCAAAGCTCCTCCCATCTCTTGTCCTTTAGCAGTCAATAATTAATCCTTTGTGGACCTTTTGAATTACTTATGAGGCTCAATTTGCGGTTTCTGCTTTTTTTAATGGTTATTAGATAGAAAATGTTTAAGTATGTCTGCTAAGTGTCAGTCTTTTGTGTATCTAATGTACCTAATAATTGTAGGAGGATTGTGTGGTCATGGCATTTCATGCAAAAAATAAACTTTTTATGGAAGACTTTGCGTATATCAGAAATATTAATATAAATTGGAATAATGCTCATGCCATGATATTCATAAAATCAACACAACAGGAAGAAAACAGCTTCCCTTAGCCATGAAAGCAGTAACACCTTGTGTGTATTTAAATTTGTCTTCTAGAACAATGATGTTGGTATGGATGTTAAGGATTAGCTAATGCTGTTTGTTTAAAAAAAAACTTTGATTTGACTTCATTTACAATATTTAACATTTCTTATTTGAATAGCCAGTTTTATCATTCAGTTTCAGCAGCGTTTTTGAATTGTATGCATTGGGTCACAAGAAGCAATTGGTTCTGCTAGATAGGCCTACTGAAAAATAAGGTGTGTAGCTAACTATAGTAGTGTTTGTGACCACTTTTCAAGAGCACGATAGTACAACTACAGTGATGTACTACATGGAAAGCAATGATCCACAAGCGATACGACGAGCAAATTTCATCCATGTTCTCTGAGAGAAATTGCGCTGTACAGTGGTGTGAGGAAAGTATAGAGAAGAACTTGTTGGACAAAAACGACTTTCAAGAGCTACATTAGGTTAATTTAATATTTACTATAGACCTTTCAGTAGCTCATCACTCTAGATTAGTCATTTCATCGGTGTGCTTAATTTTTTTGGCCATATAATCATTGAGAGAGTTTAGTCGTCAGCCCCTCAGTGTGGTAAACAAAACCCGGTTCTTATGTGGGATATGTTCAATACAGTTGCGGGCAGTTTACATCATGTATACAGGCCAAAACCTGGCCGCACCTGGCAGTACTGTGGTCCATGGTCCATAAAAGGAACATTTTTATAAATATCTCATTGAATTAATGGATAGTGGATGTTTAAGTATTTTACAGTGGCATCGTGGCTCAGCCAATCATATTTCAGACCAGAAACTCTGCTGTATAATTGATAGATTGATAGGCTGAATCCTTGATTTAGACTAATGATAGTTGAATGAGTCAGAAAATTTGCTGCAAGTATTAATTATGTTTTCAACAAGGCTTTGTGGTCTTGTTTTGGTGCTGACCACAGCATAAGAGCAAAATCAATGTTGTCTGTATTGAAAATGTATCATACTGTGTGGAAACTCCATTACATTCTGTATCGTCAAATATATGTATCTTTAAAAGTTCAGAGTCAACACAACCTCCCCTCTCATCTCACTCTGGTTTCACACACTTGTGTAGGGTGGGGACCAGTGAGTAGGCTAATTTCTGTAATTATGCACAGAGCCATATGCTGTATAAGACGTACAGGATTCACACTCTTCTGGCCCCTGTGCCACCACGTGTCTGTTTCCAGTATGAGTCAGTGTTCCAGGGCACTTCCTCATCACTGTGCTGATGAGCGGCCCTCTCAGGCCTCTATAGTGCAGATGTGATCGAGTGACTGACAAAAGTAGGGGAGTGAAATTTAGTCATTCAAGGAAAGTTCTAGCTCAGGGCTGCTGAATCACTCCCACCCACCACTGTGTGGGTTAAGGATGTGAAAACTGGATTCAGTGTCTGCTTAATCATTTTAATTAAAATAGCGCAAGATCATTTCCATTTTATTTTCATTGGTAACATTTCTTGTGATTTGTTTTACTGGAAGCTTACATTTTAGTGGTTGTTGCACTTTCAGTACCTATCAGAATGCTCATATAAGGTTTGTGTGTGTTTTGCCATTTTGTGTTTTAAAGTAATGAATGCTGTATATCAGAGGGACCTTTATTTATAATAGTAATATTTGTGTATAGAGTGCTTTTGCTACAAGCAACAGCTGAAAGTGTTTTGTAAACAAGTGATAAAATGAAAAAAGTAATAACAGTAAGGTCATCTAAGTACTTGGATATCGTTTAATATGTGAAATGCGACTCTAAGTGCTTCACAAAACCAAAATAATAAAATTATAAAATTCCAACAAAAGGGAGTGAAAATGAACAGATTCACTATGTTGATGTGGTTATAGACAAAGAAGAAAAGTAACAGTTAATAAAATCAAACAGCAATTGTTTTCTCTTGACAACGCTTAACTGTTGCTTTAACATTTCAGCCGCAGTGAATAACCGCATTAGGAAAGAATGAGAAACATAGCAGTGCCTGGAGGAGGTTAACACTTGTTCTCATGTCAAATCCTGCCCAAGTCGCCGAGTTACCTAATGAGCTTGAGACTTAATGCTTTAATCATTGGTGAGCTAATGAATTGCCTCTCAGTGAAAACAAATTGGCCTCTTAGTTGTGGTACTAACTAATGCACTGTCTTAAGTGACTGACTTTTGTTTTTTCTTGATGGTCTCAAATAAGGAGTGGTTGTTATGGTGATCTTCTGAGCATATCTTGGACGTACATATGTATATACACTCAGAAAATCGTACTTGTAGGTTTTGGTCGCATTTTAGCATGTAGTACGACTGTTTTGCTGGTGCATTTTGTCTGCACTAACTTATAAAACTGCTGAGAAACTAAATGTTGTGATACATGTTATGCATGGTGATGTTATAATTTGTCCTTATTGCCATAATTTGTCCTTATTGCCATCATTTGCCCTGAGCTAACTATGCCCTTGTAAAAAGAAGTGTGATCTTTAGTTATGCAGTTTGAAAGAAGTTGTGAAGTTTAATATTTGATATTTTATTAGAATGGTGTGATAACGTAAGTACTATCCAAATAGATAGTCAAGTCAACTTTATTCATGAAGCACTTTTATTAAAAACAACAATTGTTGGCCAAAGTGCTGTGGAACAGATTTAAAAGAAATTGAGAAAACAGCCAAACCAAAAAAAACAGCTCAATAAGAAATAAATTGAAAGTATTACAAAAAAAATGAGAAACTAAACAGAAAGAACCCAAAACTGACACTGCAAGACAGCCCAGAGCGACAGTTGCACCCACCAGTTTGGGAAACTGGTGGGCTTCAATGCAATAAAATATTGTATCAATACATCTTATTCTATATCAATACATGTATAAGATTAATATTGAATGTATAAAGAATTTGTTTGACACAATTTAACACACATGCAGAAGACGTGTATTGTCCCATAGGTTAAATAAATCTTTAGATTTAAAAGTTTGAATAGTGTAGCTGTAGCAGACCTAACCTTGAGTCTTTTGTTGGTTCTGGATGTGTAACCTTCATGAGGGCAGCTGCTGATAGTATAGCTACCTGATAGCCAGTTACAGTGAAGTTCTATAGATATATTTGTGTGTGTAGACAGATTACTTCATTACCTCTTCTTTGCTAATGAGTCTTTGTCCAGAGATTAGTAGCTAAAGCCATTAATCATGTCTTCTAGTATGAGAACTGTAGGGATCTCAGGCTGGTTCTTATTTTTCCAAAAGGGTAGGTCTCTCTTCCTGGGAATAGGAGAGCTCTCGCCTGCGCTGTGTGCTTCCTGCAACCGCTCTTCCTGTTTACACAGACTTATACAGCCGTGCTTTTTCATTTACAATATTTACTCTGTAAGAACTAACATGATTAGTCATGAAACACAGTAAAACTAGTTCTGTTTATTTTCTCATGTAGTTTTGATCAGATAAGGGCTCTTAATATTGATTATATTAGTGATCAAGTTAATTCAACGTTTTTGTGACCATATAGTAGTGACTTGTGGCTTGCATGAGATACGGACATGAGGATGCAACTGGTATGGTAACATTTGCTTTGAAATGGTCTGAATTGAATGTGGTGTGCGCGCATTGTTTATTTTTTTTGGGACAAAATTAAACTGTCAGGCTATTGATTAGTGTAATGATTAATCAAGTAGGCAAGTTTTTAACAAATAAAACTATACCAAATAACTAAACAATACCAAACATGCATAGCCTTTTAATGGTTACAGAATACTTAAGAGATAAACCAGGAAGGCTTAGAAATGTCAAACACTGTGTAGCAAGAAACGCATATAAATGTGTTTATGCATTAGGTTCTATTTGCTGCTGTAAGAGAGAACATTAGGAGAAATTAAATCATGCAAAGTGCCAACTAAGCATTGTGTGTTCATTATGCAGGGAAGTCTTTTGTTAATTTTTTTTAAACCAGAGTAATTGTGGCAGCCTTTGACAATTCGTTGATGCTTTAGGATCTAGAATTGGAAGTAGGAGTGTTGTGGTAGAAGTGACTGTCCTCTCTTTCAAGGCTGCATTGTCTGCTAAGCTGTGCCCATCGTCTCTTGGGTTACAGTTTGTCTGGATTCAGGTGTAACTCGGTCGATATGGGACTTGCTTGCTTGCTCTCTCTGATTAATTCAGAGGCCGGGTGTCTTCTTTTACAGGCTGGTCAGGTTACCTGCAGGGCTCCTCCCTGCAGTGGCCTACATTCACCACATCACTGACCTCATTGTTCCCCTCTCCTCCATCCCTCCCTCCCTACCTCTCTCTAGTTTGGGTAGTGCTGCAGAGCTGAACTGTGCTCTTTGTTTGTCGTAGAGTAGCTTGTGGTTACCACTAACCTGCCACCGCCACCTTTGGAGTAGGGTTGGTGAGCATGCAGAGGTGACGGATGTACTCTGTGTACCAGGTGTTTCAATCTCAAGGCCTGGAAGAGTCACGGCACTGCATAACTGCAAAGTTTTGTTTTAACTAGGGGTATTATGATTTTCATATTAATATTTTTATTTTATATATGGAGGTTATGAACAATGGGCATTGTAAAAGTCACTCAGAGTGGTTTACTGTGAAATACACCATTCTAGAGAAACTTAGCGAGTCAGCATTGTTCATAGCAGTGGTGATAGAACCAGATGTCTAAAGAATTTAATACCTGTAAAAACATCACAAAGTTATTACAAAATGGTTATGGATACACTGCCTAATACCTGAGACATGACTTTATGATAGTTTAAGAGAAGCATTTGGCCTGAAACATTTTTTTCGTAAATCAGTTAATTGTGGAGAGGTTCATGCAGGGTGTTGTAAGAATAAAAATAGTAGCTAGAAGACTTATTATTTCACCATAATCAACAACACACATAAAAATATCCTCAGACACTTGTAGGTTCACTGGCCATTTTGGATAGTAAATAAAATGGCTACCTTTGCATTGTAGACATTGCAACTCCTGGTTCCTGTCACCACCACTGTAAAGAAATCCAAGTTGGCACATTTCTCCACAGTGCAATATTTGCTGTCAAACCACTCATCTCAACCCTAGCTTTAAACCCTGTCATCAGCCGAGTATTACTTGAATTTATTTGCTTGTGCTGGATTGGGGAAACACAAGTGCACTGATATGACCCTCCTGGGCTGAGTGTTAAGAGTCTGCACTGTATGAAAAATACAAACTAGAGTGTTTTACTTAACACAGTTCATGTGCAAAATTTTAGTCAACGTGTCTGTAGCGCATAAGGCATTGTTGTAACTCACAGGTAGGCTATAGTTAAAACATCCATGTATGAAAACCCATTATGAGACCCACCGTATTGGTACTGGTGAATTGGGATGACAGTTCATTCATTATCCCTTTTTTCTGCTGCCAACACTGTTATGCCTATCCTTCAGCTAAATGAGAAAAAGGTACTGTTGGCATAAAACAGCTGTTTACTAATGATTTGGGTGTATTTTGCAACCATCTGCTTCATGCTTGTGGTCTGTGGTGCCACTGTAACACTTTGTGCTACAAACACTTAATCTGTTCAGAAGAGTGAAGCTTAAATTGTGCGTTTCACATGCGCAGCCATTTTGAGGTTTATAAACTGAAGCAAGAAAGGTCATTTTTCACTGATACTTAAGAGTGAAACCACCTTTGTTCTTAACGTGAATCAGTCCTGTTTTTTTATATTCTGATCTTCTCGCTCCCTTTCTTTCAGATCTGCCACCATGGGGAACATGTTTGCAGGCCTCTTTAAGAATCTCTTTGGAAAGAAAGAGATGCGTATTCTGATGGTGGGTTTGGATGCTGCCGGCAAAACCACCATCCTGTACAAGCTTAAACTGGGAGAGATCGTCACCACCATCCCCACTATCGGTCAGTTACCGTGGTGCTTGTGATTCAGGCACTTCAAATTTACATTTTTATCTTTGATGTTTAAGAGATTTAAGAGAGGACCTGTTTTCTGTCCCCCTTTTCTTGAGTCAGTACTTTTCTTTTCCAGCTAAATTGAATCTCCATGTGTTGTTTATGCTAGCAGTGTATGTTACATACATGGCTGATATTACTTGCCGATAAATGGGCAAAGTCGAGCTCCAGTAACGTAATCGATCATTACAGCTGTTAGCTTAGTGCATTATTTTGTAGCTCATCACACACTGGCACATGTTTAGTGACCAGTGCTAAGCATATAGACTCCTTTCAGCTCATTCCGATGGCTAGTTTTGTGGCTTCACCCAGAGAAGATTGCCTGACCAGGCAGCAGTGCCACTGCTAAGCTAATAAGAGTGGCTGGTCAAGACTGCAAACATTAAAACCTTTTGCTATTTTAATGGACTCTGTAAGTCTGCTAAAAATGTAATGTAAATTTACTTAAGGTTTTTAGTACATCAGCAATTGTCATGTCTGATTCCATTGCCATGTCAGTGTAATATGCAAAAATTATCAGCCACAACTAGAATGTTATCAGTTAGTGTATCAGCTGTAATTCTGTGTTTATTCCACTTACTTTCCCGTTCTCGGCCTTGTCTGCATGTGTGCGTTGGGACAGGGTGAGGAAGCTCATACACACATTAGTGGTGTTAAGCTGTCCTGAGGCTGTAGTGTTAGGACAGTGTGTTACAGTCTAGGACCTGTCTGCCCTTGGTGACCCCCAGCTGTCTACACTGATCTTCAGCCTTGTGTCCTACTTCTGTCTTTCAGCCCCACCTTGCGATGACATGCTTCTTCTGTTTTTTTCCATGCAGGTTTTAATGTAGAGACAGTAGAATATAAGAACATTAGTTTCACAGTGTGGGATGTGGGCGGTCAGGATAAGATCCGGCCGCTGTGGAGGCACTACTTCCAGAACACACAAGGTCAGTCTCTCCAAAACGCATGTGTTTCAGTAAAGAGTGGATGGACTTTGATAAGTGGATGGATCTCTCACCCTTGTTGTTCACACTCTCTCAGGTTTGATTTTCGTGGTGGACAGTAATGACAGGGAGCGAATAAACGAGGCGAGAGAGGAGTTGACAAGGATGCTGGCTGAGGATGAGCTCAGAGATGCTGTGTTGCTCGTTTTTGCCAACAAACAGGTGAGAGAGAGAGAACCTGCGAAGCCCTTGAACTCCAGAACCAGCAGGCTGTTCTGACAGAAAACAAAACGATAGCTTTGTCTTTGGCCTCTTCCCAAGTCTGACATGGTAGCAAAGTATACTTATGTGCACTTAGTATTTAGTCTGATTGAATTGATCCCTAGAGCGTTTATCTTCTCAGTTGGGAACACAGCAGTCTCAGTCATTTATGCCCAGAGCAACTAGTCTGAGAGTGCTTGCAAATTATGGTTTTGGGCAACTTCATAGTGAACCTAAATTCGACTCTGTGTGAGTTTGATACATGAGGTTTGGAAAAAATTTTTTTGGTCAGCCTAAATTTGTGCAACATGAAAAACATTTGGACTAGGGGCACACAGTAGAAGCGGATTCATATTGCTGTCGGCATCTGATATATCATGTTTAGATTTGACTGATATTTCATATTATTTATTGTGCTCCAGGAGAGCAGAATGTTTAGGCAACACTGGGCTGCAGTGCTAAGAAACCGATGGATTTAACAAATTTTACTACTCATTACTGCGTTAGCCTTTTAAAAGTAAATGTTTCATTTGTCATTTTAATCCAAATAGATGCAGCCCCAATTTATACGTTCTGTAAATGTTTCTGTAAATTTATCGACAAATGTACATGAAAAATGTCAGGTATCAGCATCGACCAGCATCAGTGCGTCCTTAAGTTGGACTGAAACGAAAGTATCGGTTTCATTCTGAGTCGGACTAGGCGAGCAAACTAATAGAGGGACTTAAAGCAGAGTTAGTTTCTTTTGCCTACTACTGTCATTATTTATCTTTGTGATAATTTACTGTATTTGACCTGCCCCCCTGTAGGACCTGCCCAACGCTATGAACGCAGCAGAGATCACAGACAAATTGGGCCTGCATTCGCTGAGGCACCGCAACTGGTACATCCAGGCCACCTGCGCCACCAGCGGAGATGGCCTGTACGAGGGCCTGGACTGGCTCTCCAACCAGCTCAAAAACGCTAAATGATCCATTCCACCTAGCCCTCTGCTGTCTGCGCTGTGTGTGAATGTGTGTATGTGTGTGTAATGAAATAAGGCAGCGCTGGATTTAGTCTCTCACCCACTTTATCCATCCTCTTTTTCTTTCGTTTGCTCCTGTAGACTTTAGAGGCTCTCCCCAGTGCTGTCTAGTGTACACACACCAGAATGGAAGTGCGTGCGTGTGAGATGAGAGTGGGAGCAGCCCTGCTGTGCCTTTTGAACACATGCTTCTCAAACAGCTTGGTTCTCTCTCTCTCTCTGTTTCTTCCTCTCTCTTGTATCCCTCTCTCCTGTCTCTGGTGTCCCTCCCCGGTTTTCACAAGGCAAAGAATGACCCAGGATGCTAAAATGTTTTTTGTTTCTTTTGTTACTTACAGAATAAATAATTATATTGAAATAAAAGTACAGTCTTGATTTTCATCCTCTGATGTTAAAGCAGTGGCGCATGTCTAAGATGTTACAAGGTTCACGTTGTCACCCTTTGACCCCCCACATATGATGAAACTCATTGTAACCTGCATCAGGTTGGGAGAAAAGAAAAGACAATAAAGTGACGTTTTCCATCCTAGATCCTTCTTTGCGTTATTTGAAAAAAATGGTGCAGTTGTGGTTCTTTGCTGCTTGTTAAGGCATGACTTCCACATCGAAAGCCAGTTATTGACTTTTGCTCTTGCTCTCCTTTAACCCACTTGCTCATTGAAGCACATGGCTGTAGTTTCCCTGGTTAAAAGGCAGTATATTCTTTAACACTGGTGTTTCAAACTAATGCATTTAGAAAAGCGTTCAGAACTGAAGCATCTGGGTTTATGATGTGCTGTAAACTCCTAAACTGTTGTAAATGTAGGAAGTGATGCATACAAAACATCCTTCTGAGGCTGTATTTTAACACTCAGAATAGATTTATTGTTTTTTGGGTGACGTGTTGGAGACAGGAGAGTTAGTTTGTGTGCGCTGCGAGAGTTAGAAATTTATCTCAGAGTAGAGAGGCCTTTTTAGAGCTGCTCCCACTCTAATGATTCGTTTTTGTTTCCATTGTTTTTCTTTCTTTTACATGGTCTGTTGAGTCAGGGGTTCAGCTCCAGTTATTCACCCGTGGCCACGAAGGGCTTCTTAAAGTCACGTTTTGTTGCTTTCAGGTTCACATCTCAAGCTTGAAGTCCATCAGAAACGAACAGCAAAGTCTTAAATCTGGCAGAACAAATTAGACTCAATATTTTGACCGTTAGGAGGGAGGAGCGCAGGGCAAGACTGCAGCTGCCTCAGCTACAACTGTACATTTACATACATGCAGATTAAGAAAGCTGTGTCTGTGGATCACAGCCTCCTTGCTTTTTGCTCTTTTATTTGTTTCCTTTACTTAACCGCCCTCTTTTTCTTCCTCTGGCTGTGTCATCTGACCGTCAGTCAATTTCTGAGTTCATCCTCCAAAATGTAACCAGCAGACAGGCAATGTTCAACCCTCCAAAACAACTGACAAGAGATTATTTCTTTTCCTTGGTATCTGAATTAATTCCAAAGGCTACTGCGAATGTTGTTGCATACATCCAATACTTGCACACTGTAAGAAATTGCTTGTTCTGTGTGACCCCTGAAGGTCCTGATCCTGTACTGACCTCTTATAAAGGAATGGGTGAATTGACACCTAACTAGGTCTACAACTGGACAGCAGCAGTTTTCTTTACAAATTGCACCAAAACTCAGCACGTTTCAGAACTCTAATGACCTTGGGCCTTTTATTGTAATGATCTCTTCAATGATTAAATAACTGATTTATTTGAATGACAAACATCATCTGTATGGCAAAGTAATAATGTGTAAGAACGTGTATTTTAGCTAGCCATTTCATTTAGGCACCGTATGTTGAGATGTGAAGCTTTAATTTTGAAGAATTATGTTTAAAAAGAAAAACAGCAAGAAAGGTGTGCATGTTTCCCCCCCTTTTCTTAAGTTTTCTTTGTTTCTAGCTTTTTTTAACCCATCTTGTAACATCTGAGAAATGCACTATAATAAAGAGATCTCTATTACAAAATTGTCTTTGATTATTTTAGTAGAGATTTTTTTAACGTAGTGAACTTTGGGATATTTTAAGGCTTGGTTTTGTGCAGTTGTAGTACTTAGAAGTACCACAGGGTGGCGCTGGTGGACCGGCCACAAATGATATGTAATAGAAACATGATAATGGAAATGCACTTAATGCAGCAAGATTATTATTATTTTTTTTTTTTGGCTTGTTTCTTCATCACAAACCCTTTTCAGTTACCTGTTAGTGCAACTCGGAACAACTTTAACATATCTGACCCAAAAGCTTTTTAACACAAGTATTACTTGTGAAACACATTATCACAAAGATTCAGTGTTCCTGAGAAGTTTATTTCCACCTTCCATATAGGTGCAGTTTGTAGTTCTACAATTACAGACTGTAGTCCATCTGTTTCTCTGCATACTTTCTTAGTCCCCTTTTATCCTGTTCTACAGTGGTCAGGACCACCACAGAGCAGGTATTATTTGTTGGTGGATCATTCTCAGCACTGCAGTAACACTGATGTGGTGGTGGTGTGTTAGTGTGTGTTGCGCTGGTCTGAGTGGATCAGACACAGCAGTGCTGCTGGAGTTTTTAAACACTGTCCACTCTATTAGACACTCCTACCTTGTCAGTCCACCTTGTAGATGTCAGAGAAGATAGCTCATCTGTTGCTGCACAGTTTGTGTTGGTCATCCTCTAGTCCTTCATCAGTGGTCACAGGATGCTGTTGGCTGGATCTTACTGGATGGTGTCACTGTGTGACACTGAGGTGTTTAAAAACTCCAGCAGCACTGCTGCAATAAAAAGTGGACATTAAATATTATATCTGAAAGCCTTTATATTAGTATTAAATAAACTATTCATTTAGGAAAATAACAGAATAATCTGCCATCGTAGGGCACTCACTGCATGTTATGTGGTTGTGCCGGCGGAAGGAAAAGTAGTTCCCTGCAGTAAGAAACAGCACTAGCTCTACTGCTGGTCTGGTGCTGTTTTAGTTGGTCACCCGTCATGACCATGCTGGTTGACCAACATACCAGCATCAAAAACACAGCATATGCTGTTATGTAATGTATTTTGGCTTTTTTGATGGGTTGGTATCACAGTGTAAAGGATCCTTATAGTTCTACAGGTGACCAATGGCTTCTGAATGCATCTAGGATCTAAAGGTGTTCCACAGGAAACTAGTGGTCTCTATTTTAAACCATAATCCAATTCCTGTTAGAAAGCAAAACCTTTAGGTTTTAATGCTAATGGTTATTAATGGTCCTTTTTTTTAGCAGGGCAGCCATGCTGGTCTGTGCTAGGTTTTCTAGCAGGGTTTCTATCCTACACCATTGGTGTTAAAACACTGATGTATATTCAGTTTACTGCTTAAAGAAAACACTCATTATTGATGTCATCATCAACAATGAGGATCAGAAGTAACAATATTTTAGTATCTATCTGCCTCTCCCTGTTGTTTCCTTCTGCCGCTGAAACTACTTAAATCACCACAATGGACAAAGCCAGTCTTATGATGCTGATTAAGCGCAATGTAGCAAAACCAGTATTTTGGCTGCTGACCTTGTAATTCAAACCACATAGTGGTATTCAGGGGAAAAATGTACATAAGACAAAGATATCAGCATTTGGTGAAACCTAAAGGACGATAGTGCCAATTTTTGAAAACACTGTTGTAAATGTTGCTCTTTATCACATTCAACTTCAACAGGAATGTTTAATTGTTGCCTGAAATGTCACAAAAAAGAAGGTACCCTGCTAGAAAAACCAGCATAGATCAGCATGAGCTGGTCCCCCTAGCATATCGCTGCTGTCGAAGAAATCCTTGTATCTCCAAAATGATGACTTTACAGGAAAAGGAAAAAACATGCCTTACTTTTAATGTAAGTCAATGGAACCAGACTTTTTTCCATGCCATTTTGGGTTGTTTCTTTTGTCCATTCATCATGAAATTTACACACAATGTAAAGAGCAACAGGCATTTTCAGATTATGCCGAAAACTGAAAAATGACAAAAAAGGAGATACAATGGAGAAAAAATGGAGATGCTTTTCTTCTGACAGCAGTGATATGCTGTGTTTTGTATGCTGGTATGCTGAACCAGCACCAGACCAGACTGGATTTCATACTAGTCTGTGCTGTTTTTTTTCAGCAAGGTATACATTTAACATAAATTCAGTGTGTGATTTCTCACCCGTGCTTCTTACATGGCACATAAACACATGCAAACAGCATGGTGGAGAGGTAAAGTTGGAATGGGGGATTTTTTAAAAGGAATGCTGCCACTTTTCAGCTCTCACAGAGAAAACTGCACAGAAAAGACTACAGCCTTTCTGAATGGAACGTACTCAAGCAGCTCTATACAGCAGAAACATGATTGATGGTTCCAATGAAAAAGTAAAATATCATGTCCTTATTAGTAGGTTATAAGGAAGTCAAAGGCACACAAGTTGTGACATGAAATTAGAGATTGAAACGTCAAACACCCCTTTTTATTGATAAGTCAAAGGTTAAGCAGTTTTTTTTGCAGGAAATGACATTTTTATTGCTAAAAGTGAGCTTGATGAAAACAAGAATCACATTTTTGAAATACATTTTTATTTTATCATTTGCAGTTTATGCATAAATTTAGTGGAAACGTAGCTATAGATATAAAAGGTTTAGGCCCAGAGCTCATCCTGATGCTACAAGATGACATGACAACCTCAGAGGTCTATTGATTAGAGTCTTGAGTTGCTCTGATAATAGTTTATGTTGTATGTACTTCCAGTTTAGACCCAACCCAGGTACTCTGTGTGTGTCTCTAGGGTGGGTTGCTGCTGTTTCAGCTTTAGATCACATCTGCTTTCTGTTACACATGATATGAACCTGCCTCTCTGCAACATCCCCCCCTCCCAGACACCCACTGAGGAAGATACAGCAGGCCTCATAAAACAAACCCCTCCAGCAACACAGATAGACCTCCCTTGGTCCTTCCATTTGATTGACAGGTGACAGATTTGGGTTAGCTCATCGAACTGTGGCCTTCGTGTGATTGTCAGGCAATGAAGGCCCACAGCAACACACACACACACACACACACACCACATTTTTCTGTACTTTGGGTGAGACGACCAGTAAAAACAGGCGAGGAGAGCCAAGCAGAAGCAGAGGATCTGTTTTGTGGAAGGTGTCCATTTCCTATAAATCAAATTACTGCACACACACCTGGATCACCTTAACGTAAAAACAATGAATCAAAAGAAAAATCTGCTTTGACTCCTTCTTAGATTTCTCAGACTAAAAAGTGTGGCAATCTAACAAGTGATACTCTAGATTCAGGCATCTATATATCAGTTAAACTGATGAGAAAAAGTGGTAACAAACCAGTTGAAAACTTTTCCACATTTTCATATTTCAATACAGACTCATAAGCAATTAAATAGTAAGTGTGCACTTATGACAAGTTGCCTCATCAGTTGTCACACTATGTAGGGTAAGACGTTAATTTGGGTTTTCCAACAAAATACTCAAAGTTCATTGTTGGATTATTTTTGTTTGGG